CTCTCTGTCTCTTCTCCTCTCTGTAAGTCTAACTTTCCAATAAAAATAAGTAAATCTTTAAAAAAAAGTCTCTATATATGTATATATACAAATATACACATAATATGTATATATACACACACACATATAATATATATATTTGGGGTACCATATGGTACTCCTTTATATGCATGGTTCTTTTTAAAAAGATTTATTTATTTATTTGAAAAGCAGAGTAAGAGAGAAAGATCTCCCATCTTCTGGTTCACTCCCCAGGTGGCCCCAGAGCCAGGCTGGTGCTAGGAAGCAGGAGCTTCAGCTGGTGTTCTGCACCGGTGGCAGGAGCCCAAACACCTGCTTTTCTGAAGCCATTTGTAGGGAGTTGAATCAGAAGAGGAATCGGTGGGACATGAACCAGTGTGCACACGGAATGTCAGCATCACAGGTGGTGGCTTTACCCACTGTGCCACAATATCAGCCCCTAGGTGATATTTCCATACATGTGCACAGTGTGAAATATTCAACCCAGGGTAAACATTTCTATCTCCTCAAGCTTTAAAAAAAAAAAAAGATTTATTTATTTTTAGTGCAAAGTCAGATATACAGAGAGGAGGAGAGATTTACAGAGAGGAAGATTTTTCATCCACTGGTTCACTCCCCTAGTGACCACAACAGCCAGAGCTGAGCCTATCCAAAGCCAGGAACCAGGAGCTCTTCCGGGTCTCCCACACCGGTGCAGGGTCCCAAGGCTTTGGGCTGTGCTCGACTGCTTTCCCAGGCCACGAGCAGGGAGCTGGATGGGAAGTGTAGAAGCCAGGATACGAACCAGTATCTATAAGGGATGGCGGCATTACAGGCGGTGGTTTTACCCATTAAAGCACACACGGTACTGGCCCCCAAACTTTTGAAGTTTTCTAGTAGCCTTTCAAAACTCTGCATCACTTCATTATCTACCCTCAGCAACTGTGTGCAGTAGATCACCAGACCTTCTCTCTCCGCTGACTATAGCTTAGTACCTGCTGCTTTTCCCCAGGCTCCCCTCCTCCCAAGCTCCACTTCCAATCTGCCTCCCAGGCTTCTTCATTACAACCGCCTTTAGCGCTGGACAGAGCTGGGTTGCGGTCTTGGCTCTGTTGCTTACTAGCCATGTGGCCTTGGAAAAGTTACTTTTCTTTTTTTAAAAGATTTATTTTTATTGCAAAGTCAGATATACAGAGAGGAGGAGAGACAGAGGGGAAGATTATCCGTCCGATAATTCACTCCCCAAGGAACTGCAACGGTTGGTGCTCAGCCAATCCGAAGCCAGGAGCCAGGAACCTCCTCCAGGTCTCCCACATGGGTGCAGGGTCCCAAGGCTTTGGGCCATCCTCGACTGCTTTCTCAGGCCACAAGCAGGGAGCTGGATGGGAAGTGGAGCTGCTGGGATTAGAACTGGAGACTGTATGGGATCCCAGCTCTTTCAAGGTGAGGACTTTAGCCTACAGGCCATGGCGCCGGCCCTGGAAAGGTTACTTTTCTGGGTTACATCTCTTTACATGTGCAATAGAAATGACGTCCACTTCCTGGGGCAGCATAGGTATTGAGTGAAGCAGTTAGCGGAGGATCACATGAAATATCCTCCATGTGCCAATTCCTGATGTTTTTCTGCTCTGTGATTTTTTTTCACACTGCAGCCTGGCTGCTCCCTACCTCTCACTGCACTTCCTCACCAACCCCTTCTGTTTGTTCATTCCTCTTTCTCCCAACCCACAGAAGACCCCATCGCCTCTATCTTGATCCCTGACCTTGGCCTCTTACCCCAGGGTTTGTCAATGGCAGACTGGCTCTGGTATTGGCAGATTGGTCCCCTGTGGAGCCCATTTTTTCTGCCTGTTCTGTCTGCTCACATTACATCACATCCCCCATGGGATCTACGCAGCCCCTCTCCCCGCTGAGGCCGATGCCTTACCCAGGCCTTCCAGCTCCGCGCTGTCTGACAGTCAAGGGGCCGTCATGAGAAGCAGTCTACTGCTTCTGCCCGGCCATGCCATCCCAACCTCTGTTGGAGGAAATGTCTCCTCCCCTCCATCAACACCCTGCACCTGCCTCGGTTTCCCCGGGGGTCCTAAACACTGGGGTCTTTCAGCTCCCAATCGTACCCTTCTCAGCCCCTCTCCTCTCAGCCTCTGGTTCTCTAGAGCGGGCCAAGTTCTCAGGGAAGGAAAGGCCAGAGAGTCAAACTTGCGCATGCGCGCGCACACACAATTTGGGAGCCACAAAGAAACAAGGACCCCACAGCTTCCTACGCGGGGGCCTGGTTACCCACTCACTAGTCTTTCCCTGGCATGCCAGGAATTGACCAGGGCCTGGGGCAAGCTATCGATCTAGATCAAGGTCACTAGGGAGTTTGTCGCATGCCAGAGGGGTGAAGGGAGGAGGGGTGGTGTTCCAACTAATGGGAACAAGGACACATGGAACAGGCCTGGGGGCCCAGGCGGAGGGTCCTCCTCCCGCCCCACAGTGCGGCTATAACTCAGGCTCCCTTCTGCCACCGTGGAGAGAAGCATCTGTCTGCCCCATGGCCTCCAGCAGATCTGATGCTCCAAGAGAAAGCTCCCCTTGACCGGCCAAGGCCAGATCCCTGGGAGTAAAGACCCTCGGAGAAGCCAACCCAGGCTGGGGCCCACCATCAAAACAGGTGACTTTTCTTCTCTGGACATGCAAAGGGTGACGCTAAGGGGGATGCCTGGAGGACATGGGGAGAAGGTGAGAAGGGCCAAAGTGGTGGAAAAAGAAGTCTTGGGAGCTTCTTCCGGCTGTTTATCTGTAGCATGCCAGAACAGGAAGAGGCCAGGAGGTTCTCCACGGGCAGGACCTCAGCAGGCATGCAGAAGGTTGCAGGATGTGCAAACCCCGACCCTGGCCTCGGAAAGCCTCAGGGCAGCTGGGGGGAGGGCAGGCCTCGGAGAAAGCAGGTGGCAAAGCCCACGAGGAACTGCTGACACACTGATCCTCTGTGCGCTGGAGGCCGTGCCATCAGGGGCAGGGGCTCCATGCCGGAGCTCTGGAGAGGAGTGGTGCCCGGATGTGGATCCCTGCCAAGTTAGTCTTCCCTGGTTTCGCCAACGTGACCTGGCAAAGACCAGGCACTGGTAAGAGAGGAGCTGGGGCAGGGCTGACACGAAGGGCGGACAAGCAGGAAGAGCGGCTGTCTTGGGAGGTGGGGCTCAGGGGACAGTGCCCTTGTTCAAGGAGACTGCTGCTCTCCATCTGGGCATGGATGAGGTGTGGGGGCTGTTGTGAGCTTTTCTCTGCAGAGGGAAGGAGGGCAGGGAATTCCACAAAGCTCTCCGGCCTGCTTCTGTGTGATATGTTTGATATTGAGTTGTTTAATTAGGCATCAACTAAATGTCAAACATATTCTTATAGCGGTGGGCAACTCCACATTTCTCTCTCTTGCCTCAATCTTCCGGGCTCTGGGTCTCCTGCCTTTTATTTATTTATTTGTTTGTTTATTTAAACTGAACCTCTTCTCCCTGCTAGAAGAAGACCAGGAGTTGCAACCTGGATGGATTTTGATTTTGACTTGGAGGGCTGGGTGTGAGAATGGGGAGAGAGAGCCGAATTTTGGGAATCAAATCTTCCTCCCTTTTGCCCGCTGCATATGACAAGGGGGCAGATCACTTTTCTTTGTCTTCTCTTGCCCTTGTATTTTTCTCTTCCTTATTCACCACCCCCAACACCGCCATTACCTGCTGCTTCCTCTTCTCATCTTAGGCCCTCCCTTTGCCTAGTCTCCGAACTCCAGACCTGTGGCTTCTTCAAGAGTCGGCTAATGCTCTGACTGCTTGTCAACCTCTAGTGACTGGGAGAACATTGAAGCACTAACCCCTTCTCTGATGGGCTACTCAGTTCTCCCACCGCTGTGGCTTGGAAGGAACACTAACTCTCTTGAATTCACGACTAATTCGAGCTATCCAGAAGCTTCCCTGGTAGCTCAGGTCATCCTGAAGCATGCCCACCTCTGCCCTTGCCATACTCTTGGGAGTATATTGCTGCTGTAGGGGAGTCGGTTGCCACATGCCAGTGACAAGGTTCTAAGTGGAAGAATTAACAGTGCCTGGGTACTAAACTGGGAATAATCAAGGTGGTAATAATGACCATGATTATGGGCTAGGGAAAAAAGAGAGTTTTAAGAAGGGAGATGGTGAAGGGAAAAGAGCAACCTTGGTTGAAGTGGGCGCCCAAGCCCTATTTTAAGATCCCTAGGGGACAGCAGAGCGTGATGCTGTCTGCATTACCCTGGGGCCCCGCTAACTCTGTCCCCATCCCACTTGATGCTCCGGGATGGCTTTCCAGCTCCCAATCCTCCCCCTCACCCTGTTCCTATGACTCTTAGGGGCGAGGAATGGTGTCTCTCTGCCAATTTGAGACTCCCAAAATAGCAAGGCAATTGGATCTGAGGATCTGGGGCGAATTGTCAAGGATCATGAGTGACATCGCTTGCTAACTGTTGCCCAAGCGCCCCAAATACCAGGAATCAACAGCTAAAATTCAACCAGTGATGATGGGCCAGCATCCAGGGCAGTCTGGGTGAGAGGGTACAGGAGCTGAAGGATAACCATGAACTTCTGGATGCAAATGGCATTCTAGAACTGCCCGAGTGCCTTCCTCCCCTCTCCCTGCTCTTTTAAAAACACCCACCAAGCTACCCAGAATGAGTGGAAATTTTCAGGGTCAGAGAGAGCCTCTACCCTCCTCCACTTTCCATCGTCTAAAATGAGCTTCAGCTGTTCTACCTCCTTCCTCCCTGCCCCCCCTTTTTTTGGCTGGTGATGTCAGTTCATCAAAGTGCCTCACCCTGTGTTCCCCCCAGGAGAACAATGAGGGAGGTGTAGGGATCAGGGAATACCGTATTAGGAACAAGAGGTGGAGCCATGAACACAGATAAAAAGTTCGAGTCCGGGGCTCTCCAGTTGCTTCAGCAGCAACTCCTCCTTTCTGGTGGTGCGCACCTCCAGTTGGCCAGTGTTTCCAGGTAAGCCCATCGACGACCCCTGTTCATGATGGAGGCCATAAAGAAAAAGATGCAGATGCTGAAGCTGGACAAGGAGAATGCTCTGGACCGTGCAGAGCAAGCTGAAGCTGAGCAGAAACAAGCAGAAGAAAGAAGTAAACAGGTAGGTGCCAGTGAACTTGACCATAAGAAACAAGGGTCTATTCCTGGGGAGTGGGTCATGGGCACCAACTCCTGCTTTGGGTGGAAGGGACTCACTAGGCTCACTGGAGGAGACGAGGACACTTGGGCATCTGCATCTCACTTGCCTAAATGACCTTGGGAATGTCAGTGGTCCCTTCTGCATCACAGTCTATCTGCCGGATGTGGACCATGCTTTGAAAGGACACCTAACTTCTAAAAGAAAAGGTAAGAGCTTAGTTTATAGCATTTTAATCTTTTTTAAAATAGCCTACCAGGCATCGCTGAGATACTAACCCAGGATGGCTTGGCCTTCTTTGGGTCAGAGATCGTAGAGCCCCAGGGAGGCCATAGCATAGCACCCTGGAGCCACGGTGGGCTGGAAGTAACTAGGGAGACACAGCGTGTTGTTTTGGACATGGTGACATGGAGGTAGGGCGCAGGATTTCATCAGGGTCCTCCAAGGAGCTGCCTGGGATCCAAGCCCCGCTGGCTGTGCGTGTATGTCTTTGTGTGTGACTCTCTGGGTTCTTGTAGCTGGAAGATGAGCTGGCGGCCATGCAGAAGAAGCTGAAGGGGACAGAGGATGAGCTGGACAAGTATTCTGAAGCACTGAAGGATGCCCAGGAGAAACTGGAGCTGGCGGAGAAGAAGGCGGCTGATGTGAGTAGCAGGGTTTAATCCACACACACACACAGATCTTCACGTTAAGGTGGGAACGCATTCCAAACTCACTTTAACACAAGGATAAACTGGTGGGCTCACAGACAGCAGACATACACACTCATATGCATTTCTGCATTAGACTCTCATCAGGAGATACACATTTCTTCTCTTAAAGACATGTAGAAGTCTTTAAGTCGCTTTTGTCCTCCGCTCAGTCCAGCAGCTTGATTATCTCTCCCTGAGCCTGGGCGAAAGAAGAGAAGATTCCGTTATCACATATCCCACCTCCTCCCCCATGTCACATTCTTCGTTTTTGTGTCCAAGGCTTGGCATGTAGATATGTGTATTAATAGGGGACCTCTCATCTCTCAACCACCCGACAAAGTCAGCTCAGATTTCACAATGGGAAACGGAGGTCACGTTGACCCTGGCCCTATATGGAATGATTCATCGTGGCGAATGTGGGCATGTGCCCACTTCGAGAGGCCATCGGAGGCATTGTTCACAGGGCAGCAGAAAGGGTTCCAGAATGAGAGACCATAATAGAAACGAGAAAGGAATCTCGGGGAGGACAGTTCTGACCACCAGGCCTTCCCCTGTGACCTTGAGCAACCTGGCTGCCCATTCAGAAAGGAAAGACATTTTCTTTTTCCTTGCTTATTATCTTGTAATTCCTTGCTTTCCTTCATCTGCAACCTTGAAGTCTGAGGCAAACATAAATGAGACTACGTAGGACAATCTTTCTGAAGAAAAGTATCTGAGACATCTGCAACAAGAGCATGTCCCCAACTGATGGAAATTCAGCACACAAAAAAATAGGTGTATATATTTAAAGTCACATCTGGTTTTGGAAACAATCTAGAAGAACTGAGTGGATCTTTCACGACCATTCTCAGACCCTCATGTTCAGCCTCTTTGACAACAGGTTTCTGATTTGCTCTTGGGCTTTCCTCCACTTCCAGTGGTTCCAAAAGCAGCAAGGGTTAAAATACAAGATATCAAATATCAGAAACACAAACTTGAAAATGTATATCATATAAACCCCAGAAGCTTAGGATTTGGCAAATTATGACTTCTTTCTTAGGAATCATTAAAAAAAAAAAAAAAAGGCACACAACACAGATTACTCTCAGGGCTTCGGGCAAGTGGCTGATGGCCAACGGGGGCTCCTTCTCGGGGTTTCCGAGGAGGATGGATGGATCTCTATGGCGCAGGACAGACATTTTGATATGTGAACATGACGCTAGGCTAATCACCGGTATTATGAGCTGTGAGGTAGCAGCTGTCTAGGGGCTGTGCTAATAAGGGATGCTTGAGGTGTTTCCTGGAGCAAGAAAGAGACCAAGTCTTATCCGAGACCTTGCTAGAGAGAGGGTGACAGAGACTAATCAATGCGACACTGTCATCAAGAAGAGAAAGAAAATTTCTTGAGGAGGAATGGTGTCAAGGTGGAGCTCACACACACACACACACACACACACACACACACACCCCAGACCCCTCCCCGACAAGGTGGAGCTCACACACACACACACACACACAGACACACACACCCCAGTCCCCTCCCCAACAAGGTGGAGCTCACACACACACACACACACACACCAGTCCCCTCCCCAACAAGGTGTAGCTCACACACACACACATACACACACACACACACACCCCAGACCCCTCCCCAACAAGGTGGAGCTCACACACACACACACACACACACACACCAGACCCCTCCCCGACAAGGTGGAGCTTACACTCACACTCACACACACCCCACCACCACCCCCCTCCCCGCCATGGGCTATTCAGTATATTCATTTGAAAGGAATTTCATCACTTGGCAGGAATCCACCAAAAGCCACTTAAATCAAGTGTGAGTTAGGAAAAGCTTTGTTCCACCTGCCTTCCCTTTGCTAGCTCTCCCACCCAGCTAAGTACCCTCAGAGATACAGACTAAAACAAGGATAGAAAGATTGTGGGCAGTAGGCAGAATTCTATCAGGGCAGTTTGAAATGAAAGCAGAAAGAAATGTTTCTTTCCTTTCATCTGGGGTCTGCCAGTGACCACCAGCGGGCTCAAATGCTGCCACACAGCCTGGTGTGGAAACCAGGTTTTACTCAAGTCTACTGACCTTCTCTGTACAGTGCAATAGTCTGCACAGAGAGCCTGTGACCTGCTGTTTGCTCCCTGGCTTTTGAAGGAAGAGGCTGGTGATCCTAAAGGGGCAAAGAGAGCAGCTGAGAGGTTTTAGGAAAGGGGAGAAATGCTGAATAAGAAGTAGCAAGGTTTAGAGAGCAAGGGTCTTCAGCAACAATGATGCATGCGTTGTAGAGGGAGGAGGGCTGCTGTGTGCAATACAAGAAAAGGTTGTAACTCAGCTTCTGTTTTTGAGACCAATAAATAAATCAGTAAATAAAGCACATTACCTTGATGTTGTTGTAATAGGAAAAGAGAGAGAAACGGAGAGTTAATAAATGCAGGCAGGTTTCCACAGCAATTCTGGTTCTCAGAGAAGCCTTTCTGGAAAACCTTAGATTGGCTAGGGCTGTTTCAACAAAAGTGTGGCAAAGCCATTCCAACTTTTATGTTTTTCCTCCCGGAATTTGCTTAATGCCCTTTAAAAAAAACTGGCAAATATACTTATATAAACTGGCAAATATATAAATTTTACCATTTTAGCATCTTTAAGGGTACAGTTCAGTATCAGTAAATATATTCACATTATTGAGTAAATACACATCACTACTGTTGGCCCACAATTAAATCAGAAGCCATTTAGGGAGACCCAGGGGAGAAAGTGGAGTGTAATGGTTGGGTCAGGTGCAAAGCCATCACCACCATTTTTAGCAACAGGCAATGGGAGTGAGGAGCAGAGAAGGGCTACAGGGAGAGCCATGAACCTGTTGATGGATGGTATTGTTTGTTACTAGGCAAACAATGGTCTACTTGCTGCCATGTTCCTAAAGGCTCCCAGGAGCCAGCCCATCTGTTTCCCTGGATCAAGAGATTATCTGTCCAAATCCATCAGCCTCAGGAATGTAGCAGGAGCTCTCAACACTCCCTTTCGTTGGTCTAGGATGAGGTCTACTCTTCAGGAGGGCAGGGAGAAGCAATACTGCCCCCTACTGACCAGCACCCAGATGACAAAATTTTTTTTTTGTGGTCTTTAGGATGAGACGTTTCCAAAACAAGTAGGAGAGTTTCCTGAGAGGCTGACCCAGGCTCTTTCTTTCCGATTCCTTGAAGGGGTGGGATGGGGGGGAAATCATTCATGCAGGTTATTCTACTGAGTCAATCACGGCCTGTCCAAGTTGTTTTTTCCAGTGGTCAGTATTTAAAGGAGATAAGAACAGAGTCCCTTGAAGGCATCCTCCCAGCCAGACCATTGCTCCACATCCTCATTCCCTCAGGGGAAAAGAGAGCTACACCTGAGGAGAGATTGATCACTTATTACAGATTGGCAAGGTAGGAGGGATACAAAGAAACATAAATAAAGTTAAAATGCTTGTTTCTTTACCTTTAGGCTCTCTGAAATCCTGCTTGGCAGTTTTCCTTCCTTCTTTGTGGCATTAACTTTATTGGCCAAGGCTGGGTCAGGCTGACTCTGGGAGACCACAAGGGTCGCAGGGACCTAAGTACTTGAGCTGTCAAATGCTGCTTCCCAGGGGCCTGGATCAAAAGCAGGGTGGCCAGGACTTGAACTAAGGCACTGTGATATGAGATGCTGGGGGCTTGACCTCTTTGCCAAATGCCCACTCCTGCAGGGGCAGTTTCTCACTCATTAATAGCTTCTTGTGGGTACCTACAAGCAGACATGGCCGTGAAACCAGAGAAAGTTATATCAGAGAATAAAAACTGGGTCCATAAGTTTTTCAGGTGCTCATATCTTGCAGTTGTATAAAGATCTTGCCAGCAGGGGTCTGTAACAGAAGAGTCCTTCCTGATCAAATATGGACATCTTCCTTATCTACAAGCTGGATTGTGAGGATTAAATCACCAGGCCCTGAATCCTTGCAAGCTGCAAAGGGGCAGCAGGTTGGTTAATTGACGGCGTTTAATGGTGCCCAAAAGTAACTGGGAGAAAGACGTGTTCTAAACAGCGTTTTTAACAGCTGTTCACTAACAGAATGAGAACTTTGTCAGCTCTTCCATCGGGAAAGTTCTATTCACGGACTGACTTAGGAGATGGGCGAGAACCTATCTGAGGCAGCTTTCCAAGGAGGCTGAAAGGGGAGTCTTTTGAAAGTGACTCCTGGAAAGTTTTTGAAGATTTCTTTAGAAACTGTTTTTTGCGGTTTGGGGTGAGTTGGGAAGAGTAAGATGTCTGCTGTGGAGAGGATACGGGAATCCTAGAGGGTAAGTGGTGGGGGGCGGACACTGGAAGATAGAGAGGTCCCCTGCGGGAGTGTAAGTTAACTTGGGGGCTAACCCTTGTGGGCAGCCAGCCCGCGTCGCACCTTCTGGTTACCATGGCAACGCTCCCAAGTCTAGCCCCGCCCCTTTGCTGGGCGGAGCCGTTGCCTGGGGCAACATCGAGACCCCGCCCCTCACCCCGGACCCCAGCTTCTCCCTCCAGTCGTTGGCCTTCCCGCCTGTCTGGCTTTGGGCGGGGCTTCTGGAATCGCGTCACATCCGGGCGGTGGGTGAGTTCCGGTATTTCAGGGAGGAGCAGGCGGAAGTAGGGGTGAGAAGCGGCTGCAACGCCGAGCGGAGGAGGCAGGAATCGGAGCGCAGGAGTCGGAGCGCGAGAAGCAGCTGGGTGGGAACCATGGCCGGGATCAACACTATCGAGGCGGTGAAGCGCAAGATCCAGGTTCTGCAGCAGCAGGCGGACGATGCCGAGGAGAGGGCCGAGCGCCTGCAGCGGGAAGTGGAGGGAGAAAGGCGGGCCCGAGAGCAGGTAGGGAGAGCGAGGCGCCCGAGGGCGGGGCTGGCCCTCGGGGCTGCCGGACCCCGAAGGGGCGCTCCCGATGTGTTTTGGGGGTGTTTTGAGGAGGAAG